AAATTTTATTAAAAAATTTTAAAATTTAAAAAAGTTTGCAGGCAAATTTGGCTGCAAAACAATTTAAGGGATAAATTCATGTAATATAAACTTTAATGGCTATATGTTGTAAACCATTTTTAATATGTACATACGAGCATGGGGCTTTTTCATTTTTTTGGAAAAACACAAGAATTGTTATAAGGTAGTTAACCAATAAAAAGCTGGCTTTTTAACATGTGATATCATTTTTGTCAAAACAGATAAATAATCGTTAAATAATCAACAAGCATTATTCATATATTATAATTTTCTTCAAAGCAAAATAACTCACATTGTAAAAGAATCCAACTATTAATTCACATACTTAAAGCAATCTTACAGTTGTAAAAACTTTATTTAAAAGGTTTGGTAGCAAGTTATGCATCCTTTAATAGTTTTTCTTAAAACCCCACATAATTAATAAAACTATACTATTATATATATTAAATAACTTCTATTTGTGTTAAATATCTTTTAAGAAGTATCATAACTTTAAGAAAAGTTTACAAAATTTGAAAATAAAAACTAAGTTAATATTATAACTAAAAATAAAATAAAAATAAAAATAACGATATTGAACTTTGTGAATTGAGCAGTACAATATACTTTTATTACCTCTTACTATATGGTAGATTGTACTTCAACCTTTACCATAATTACCATGATGTGGCATGATGCAAATAATGCAACTTGAGTTTATTGAAAAGATGTTTTCTATGAAGCTATTTTTATTAGTAAAGTATTACATAATTGATTTTTTTTTTTTTAGGTCTGCTTATACCCAAAAATTCTGGTTTTAGACTACTTTTCTGTATAAATACTTATGTAACATGATTCCGGAAATCATCAGATTCAAATATCTCCTATGCTATACATATGTATATATATACTTACATCAGCATTAAATAAATTTTCCATTAGACAAAACCAATTATATCATTGATCAGAGCTATGCAATTAAAAATAAATTACTTCTTTTCAATTGATTAAATTTTTTTTTTTAAAAATAAATACTTTCAGTAATACTAACATTTTGCTTTTTTGGGTTTTAAATAAATTTTTGCTAAAAATTTTTATCATATACAAGTACTATTTACTATATTAATTTAAGTAATTCTTATAATAATTTGCTAAAAATTTATATTGTAAAATATAGTTATTAAATTTTATCCAATTGGTATAATTTTATAATAAAAAAGATAATCTTTATCTATCTTTTTCTTTTTGTTGTGATAATTGATTAAACTATCTTCTACTAATTAAAAATCAAGCTCTAATTATAAATTTTAGCATTTAAAAGTATTTATAATTTTTTGGAATAACTAGACTAGAATAACTAGACTGGAATACTTCCAGTATTTATTCCAGTCCAATCCAGTAATTTTTTTAACTGGACTTATTCCAGTGACAGCATTGACCATAATACAGTATAACACGAAAAAAGTTATGTAGACTAATAAAACTCTTTATTGTGTTAAAAAAAACTTGTACATTAAAAATAAAAATTTATTAAATACGGTAATAAAAAATTTATGTTATTTTAATACATGCCAAATACAGTACAACGTATATTAAAAAAAAAGAGAGATCAAGTTCGTTTAGCATTGTTAAGTGTTGATAATAACCTTATCGTTGATTTCCCATATTTGGCATGCATTTGATTTAAATCTGGCATACCTCCTGAAATCAATGTTGTGAAATTTTGATGTCCAATTGGTTTGAAAACAATTGGACATAATAGCCTTATCAACACTGCTCCTAAACCACCACCTCTTAAGTCGCCTATCAATAAACAGGAATTCATTAGTAATAGGACAGTTGTCCAGAGCAAGTGGAGGACTTTATTGTTCAGACCTGAACAGGTGCTCTTGCAATAATGTTCAGAAATTTTACTAAGCGGACCTGTGTAAAATTATATACTGAAACCATAAAAGTGACAGTAATATCAATTAACAGCCTATACTTTTTTCTCGAATAACGATGACACAAATAGCCGTACTAAAACGATGCCTATAATGATAATACTGTAATAACATCAATTATGATAAAATCATTAGTGACTAGGTGCGTAGGCGAAATTCGTAAAGGTGCAGACATTTGGAATTTTGGAGGTAGCTACTCCAGCAAAAATATCACGGCGATACGGCATATTTATCGCATGCCGTATAAATGCCGTAATAATACCGTATGCCTTAATTTAGTGGGCGATGATCTATTAATCGGTGGATTAAAAAAATGATTCATGTTTACAAACACTTATTTACTACCCTTCAGATTACCATTCTATTCGGTCAATGAGTATTATAAATTTTTAATGATATAAAAATTATTTGACAATGATTAAAATGGTAACCTAAATACGGCAAAAGTATACATTTTAATAAAGACAACACGTTTAAAGCATGGTGTTTGGCATGATCCCAACAAGTAAACCCGTATAAGCGCGAAATAACGCTTGATGTAGATTATGCTCTATAAATGAATATTATATAAATGCACTTTTACCCAAAAACGTGTAGTTATGGAAGGTTTACTGTATTGGATTTAGAAAATCTACTCTTATTTCGAAATAACGCAAGAAATTGGCAAAAGAGGATTTGGTTATGTATATTTAGCAACTTGGTTAGATGGTATACGAAAATTGATTATAATTGTGTAAAGCGCATGAACCATCTCGTACAAAACTATTGATTTTTTGTGTTTGATCCAGCGAATTTTTCAGGGTAGTAACGCTATACGGCATACTACATCACTCACGACAACTATCACGGCAATATAACCTCGAGTAGTACGACCTCCTGCTATGAATCGTCTGTATCATTAGAAATTCGAAGTTTTAGGACGTTCATTAGTTATCTAGTTTGAACGCTTAAGCGTGATCGCGTTCCGTGATTACCCGTACCTACGGGTAATTTCGACAGATAACGATAACGATAACGATAACGATAACGATAACAATAACGATAACGATAACGCTAGCTTTTATAGCATGACCTAGAGCTGGTCTCCAAACAAAAACTCTCATTTTACAAATGTCGAATATCGCTCAAGGTATTTTAAAAGCTCTGTCTTTTTTAAACAATAATTAAGTTGTCTTTATCATAAACTCTATAAGTTCATTATTGTAAAATTTATTAGGAAAACCTGAATATTACTCTGTTGGTATTCTAACAGGTATATGATTTTTAATTTTATTAAAATTTATCTACGATTAATTTTTAACATTTCAAAAAAAAACTAGTTAGCGATACCTGCTCGCGTGATCCGACAAAGGATCGTAGTGGTCCTATTCTAAAAACTCTATTTGCAGAGACCTCACAATTAAAAAAAACTTTTCATGTTGTAAAAACTAAAATTGTTCAGGATGATGTCTTCGAAATACAAAAAAGTGTAAAAGATTGGTGCGATATTGAAAATTTGGATTTAGTAGTAACTACTGGTGGTACTGGTTTTGGTGTTCGTGACGTAACTCCTGAAGTATGTAAAACTGTGAATTTCAATTTAATCTTTTAAATTTTAAATATTAAAATTTTATTTATTGATTTATAATTAGGCTGTTCAACCACTATTTGAAAAAACATGTACCGGAATTACTCAAGCAATGATAAAAGCATCTTTAGAAAAAACAGAATTTGCTGCTCTGAGTCGACCGGTCAGTGGAATTAGAGGCAATACCATAATTTTGACAGTTCCCGGAAGTCCTAAGGGAGCAAAAGAAAACATACAAGCTATTTTGAATGTTCTACCTCATGCTATTGATTTGGTTAGAGGTGGAACTGGTGAAAACGTTCATGCACAATTGCGTGTTGAAAGTCACGAATGTGTTCATCACGATCATAAACATAGTGATACACATCAATATTCATCGACTTCCACCTTTGGCCCTGGTAATAAACAGTGTGTATATATTTGAATGGTATCAAATAATGACTTCGTAGAAATATAATATATATATTTTATGTTAGTCTCGCAGCGTCAACGTAAATCACCGTATCCAATGATTACAGTCGCTGAAGCATTAAATATAGTTTCCGAACATAGCAATATATTATCATCCATTAAAGTCCCAGTTGATGAGAATTTGATTGGGATGGTTTTGGCCGAAGATGTGGTCGCACGTCACCCAGTGCCAGGGTATCGTGCTTCTATAGTTGATGGATATGCTGTTGTTGGTATGATATCTCAAATTTGAGTTTGTTTAAATTTATTCATGCCTTAAAGTATATTTTTATCTTATTTTTTTTTAGCGAGTGATGGTCCTGGTGTTTATCCCGTAGTTGGAGTGTCTATCGCAAATACTTCTGATTTACCTACTGATAAACTACAGCCTGGTCAGATTGCCCGGATCACAACAGGTGGACCTGTGCCTCATGGCGCCACAGCAGTAGTAATGGTTGAAGATACAACCCTAGTACGCGCATCTGAAGACGGTCTACAAGAAGAATCTGTAGAAGTTCACGTTCAAGTTAGTGATGGTGCAAACATTAGAGAAATCGGTTCAGATACTAGCGTTGGGACCATTGTTGCACGAAAGGGTGAACTTTTTTCAGCAGTAGGTGGGGAAATCGGGGTTTTGGCGTCAGTAGGTGTAAAAGAGGTAAGTGTATTTTTTCGTACTTGACGTTAATTTATTAAAAATTTAAATAAAATTTAAATAAAATTTGTTATCGGTAAATGAATTTAGGTTTGTGTATACAGACGCCCAGTATTTGGTGTTTTGTCAACTGGAAATGAAGTTGTAGATCACAAAAATGCATCCGAATTAAAATACGGTCAAATATTCGATAGTAATCGACCAACATTATTGACAATTGCTAAAGCTACTGGTTTTGAAGTCAAGGATTTTGGAATTGTTTTTGATGAGTATGAAATTGATCATATTTAGCTTTTCATTACTGTATATTTAATATGTTAATTATTAATGCGGACGGTTTGATTTGTAGTGCAAAAGAGTTAGAGAAAAAGCTAAAAGAGGCTTTAACACAGGTCGATGTGTTAGTTTCAACTGGAGGTGTATCTATGGGCGAATTAGACTTATTTAAGCCTACTTTGCAACAATTTTTGGGTGCAACCATTCACTTCGGAAGAGTAAAAATGAAGCCAGGGTAAAATAGTTAGACTAGAGAACTTTTTTTTCTATTGTCGTAGGAATTATATTAATTTTACCTGATTAGGAAGCCAACTACTTTTGCGACTCTTCCAGCAACAGCCGATGCACCCGAGAAGCTAATATTTGGATTGCCTGGAAATCCAGCTTCTGCCACCGTTACTTTCTATTTATTTGTTTTACCTGCTCTTCGGAAATTAGCTGGTTATGAAAATTGGAATTCACCCATTTTACAAGCGGAGGTAGATATTTAAGATTTTCTAAATATATGTTTATAATTATCATTTTTTTAAGCTACTTTCTCAAATTTTATTTATACTTACTAGTTAATGGACAAATTATCACTGGATCCGCGTCCCGAATATCATCGAGCCGTAATTTTTTTCGATCATTCAAAAAGAAAGTTTATGGCAACTTCTACAGGACATCAAATAAGCAGCCGCATGCTTAGTTTGAGAAGTTGTAATTCTTTGTTAAAGCTACCAGAAAGAACTGATCAGTGTAAAGAATTAGATAAAGGAACTGTTGTGGATGCTATATTGATCGGGCAATTGAGTTAAGACTAATTCTGAAATTATTATATTAGTTATTTATATCATTATATAGTTTAATTATTTTTTATAGTATTATGATATATTTACAATATATTGATTTTGAATGTCTTAGATAAGACTCTCCAACCTTCTTTAAAATCAAAAATGTAGCTTAAATATTAGTTTTTTTTTCAACCTTACAACGAATAAATTGTAAGATATTTCAAATTTCATTACTCTTAATTCATGAGTTTATATATTTCGTTTATGTAATTTTTTCTTTAGTTAAGTTGCAGAACGAAATATTATTTACGGTCATCCAAGTTGTACGATTTTATACTTCGATAATTTACTAATAATTGTGGCAGCTAAAGTTGAAATTGGCTGAAGCCGAAATTTTGGGGTCTCTATTCGAATACATAGCCCTATTTACACTTTTTACTAACAATTCTATTCTAAATCCTAACTCAAGCCCTAAAGAAAAAGGATTAAAAAATATATACAGTATACTTTAAAATTTTTATGTCTTAATTATAATATATATATATAACTATTTGTTACATTGTAAAATCATTGACATTGTATAGTTGTTTAAAATATGGTGTTTTAGATCTTTGGGTCGTTATAAGTATTTTTTTTATTTTATAAAATAAAATATATAACCTATATAAGTATAACCACATTATTAGGATTATGGTGATTTTGTGCTTGTACGTATAGAGATTTTTTTATACGTATGCTTATAGTAATTGGATTAGAATAACTATAGACCATAATTATTAATCATTATATACATCAACGTATAAACATGAGTAATTTAACTTCGAATTACTGTTTATAATTCATTACCTAGATACAAAGATCAGTTTAATAGAGAATTATATACTGTATATATACTGTATATATAGTATAGTATGGATGATATAGTATTGGAATGCCTAACCGGTACAGTATAATCGCTATTGCACATATTGAATATTGCACATAATATATGTATAATAAGGATAATAAAGTATTTAAATTTGTTTTTAAACAAATGATTTTGCCTAAACTTAGCCACAATACTTAAAGCATGGCAACTCAGCATAATCGAAAAAACCTATCTTTGATAGACAACTAGCCAATTAGTGCTACAAATCGAAAATCGAAAATCGCAACTAATCGAAAAGTTGATGATACATTCAAGTTTAAAATTTACTCAACTAAAAAAGCTCATATTATAACTAGCAAATACACTACCATTGTTATACTCCAAACTGTAAATTTGATTTTATATGTAGCTATGATTATTGACATATGTACTGTATATTTTATAAAAATTACTTTTTAATAATCAAATTTGATTGGCTAAAAGGCGTTAGATTATCAGTCAACATATGTTTAAATAACCTTCTATGGTTATTTGAATGTGAAATGACCCAATAACTAGCCACTAGTTATTTGGGTCATTTCAGGTCATTTACAATTCCTGCTACTAACTATGAAACTATCCTTTTCATTCTAAAAAAAATACAAAAGTTTCAAATAATCTCTTAGCTATTACCTTATCTAACTCCAACCAACTCTAATTTGGTTTGATTTAATTAGAGGATTGCAATGTATCATGCTAATAATAAATAATAATTTTCAATTTTAAAATAATATATTTTATTATAATTTTTAAAAAAATGATCCCTCTAGACTGCATGTTCAATAGTCGCTTTACAAAAAACAATAATGTCGCCTTGTCTTCTTGAATCGTCATTAAAATGAGAGTTAAAAAATCTTGTGCACTTTTAAGTACCAAATTTAAATGAGTCCCAAATATATAAAGAGAATATTAAAGAAATATGATATGCTAAAATAAAAAAATATCTTTTTTGAAGCTCACCTGATTGTATTCTAATTGTTTCAAAATAGGTTCAATATCTTTCAACAAAACTTCAAAAATTATTAAATAACTTGGCCATTTTCGTAATGAATTATTTGAAGATAAATTAGAAGCCGGAGGTTCAAAATTAGCATAAATAAATTCAAGAGGATTTTTATAAAATTGATCTGCTTCATCTAAGTACTCTTCTAAATCAATATCATGACTGAATCCATTATTATTATAAAATAATCAGTGAAAATGCTTCATACTAGATATTTTAATTTTTTTTTTATAGAGAACTTACTTCAAGGGGGGTTCACAAGTTAAAAACCACATTTCCAGATTTCTATGCAAATTACTATAAAATGGAGTTGAATGACAGGGTACTAAAAATCCAATATCTTTAACATTCCCTTTATCAGTCTCATCTCTCAAATAATTCATAACCTCTATAACGCCACTTTGATGAACTGTCGCAGCATAATATGCTACAGGAACATTTGTAATTACCAAAAATATTATGGAAAATTTTAACCACACTGATTTTTTTGAATGTGTTGAAGAGTTTGCTAAACGAGAATTTTTCGTGGTGGAAATTTCATCAATACCGATTCCAGAGATAATTACCAAAATAGGTAGTAAAGGATATATAAATCTAAATTCTTTATGTCCAAGTATACTATAACACAGCAGAACCCAAATGCATAATTGCAAGAGGAGTTTGATACGATTCCAATGTAGAGGATTTTGTCTTGCAGAGTAAATTCCGATCACAATGAATGGGATTAAGGTGGTTAATATAACTGGCAGCCCCTGAGAAAAGTACCAATGCCATGGATGAGCACCATAAAATAAAGAAATTGATTTAAATACGTTGAAATGGAAAAAATTGAGCGGTACAAATACAAATGTTCCATAAAATTTATAATCTATCATTATCATTGTTGTAACTGCAATAACGCTAAATAAAAAGAAAGGAGACAAAAAATAATGAGCAAAGTTTGAGAACAGCATTAAATATAATAAAAATATTATGAAATATACAAACAAGATTATTATTGTATTTGTGACAATAGATATGGTATGCTTTGGCATTTTCCAAAGAAGGTGGATACCGAAGAAACTCCATATTATCACATTAGTCGGCCGAAAAATGCAAGAAATTGCGGCTAAACTTAATGATACGCGCAACAATCTGGAATCCAAAATCCCATTTTCAAATATTATTAAATTATTATTGGAACTAAAATTATAAATCACAAATCATAAGTCTTACATTTCTCGCTTATTCTGATTTCTTGGTGTATCCAATGAAGGCCAGGGCCAATAAAACAATGCTATAATGGTAAGACTTGTCTCAATGCTATTCGAAAACGTGCGAACCGAACAAAAAAAATTAAACCAAGATATTATAGAACAAAAAAGCTAATTACGGAAAGTAAAGACCATGATAAATAATTTGAACAAAAAATGGTTTTAACAATAATACGAATTTTATTGATACATACAGTCCATTTCGCAGATGAATCAGTAAATAATTTTTTAGCCAAACGATATGAATAAAAATCACTTAAAGCAGCAAAGACAGCTTGTAAAAGTTTTGGCGCGTATATCTACGTATTAGATAATGATTTATTTTATACAATGTATATAAAAAAATCGATATTTTTTTAATAAAAGTTTATAGTTACAAATAAATTTCCTTCATCAAGTCCTACTAAAGCCAACACTTTATATAACGTTGCAAATACTAAAGGGTGAGCAAAACTCCTTATCTGTTGTTTCCATTCCCAAGTCAAGTAACCATAAGTTTAAATTACATTAAGAATAATAATATATTTTTTGATTTAAATAAAATAAATATGTTTCAATAAAAAAAAATAAATCGGATATCCAAAAACCATATAATGAGCAACTTCAACAGATTGCCAGTATTCATCCGGATTAAAAAATGTTTTTGTTATAAGTGCATTAAATAGCCTAAATAATATTAGAGATGTGAATAATAATTTTTTATTATTAAAAATTGTGAATGCATTGTCGAAAGGAATTTCGGTTTTTGGTGAAACATCGGTGGTAGCTTGTAGGTTTTCAGTACGTCGTCGTTGAAATACAACCATATTAAAATTGAGATTTCGAAGAACATCATGGCAAGCTTGATTTCATTGGTTGATAGACAAGAATTTTGATTGGCTAAAACTTTGACAGTTATATGTTCGTTGAATATCAATCATATGATGTTAATTTACGCGTAGATTCGCGTATAAATATTTGTTTGAAATGATTTCTTTGAAGACACACCTTCTTAAACGTACAGTATTTTCCTTTATTATTCATTTGAGTTTTGTTTTTAGTGAACATTATCGTTAATATATTTTTTTTTCTCTTTACACCTGAAGCTCCACTAAACATTTTCTTGTTAAATATTGTAAGTATATCATTAACATTTTATAGTTTTGAAATTCGAGTTTGAAGAATAAATTAAAAACAATTCAAAATATATTTTTAGGACTCCAACTGATGCCTGCCAGCAGAAATAAGGTAATATACCTGGCGGAGATATTAGTCTAGGAAGAATGGCATCGGGCTCATTTTCGAGTATTAGTATTCATGATTTTTGCAAACCTGAGTTTTTTCTCCTGCACAAGTCTACTGATTCTAAAAGAAGGGTTAGATGTTCCTTGTTGCGGTAAAAAGTTTTG